GATGACAAGAAAGGTGTTCTCTAAGTAGTGTCTGTGGTCTGGAAACCACCTCTGCCAGATATGTGATGCTGTTGGGCAGCCCTTTTTTTTCTTTTGGGTTAATGAGGTGAGTAGGGGCAGAGGGCCTTTGTGAATACTTATGGGCAGTCCTTTAGTGTATGGTGTGTTTTTAATACATTGCGACAGGATGGCCACCCAGAGAGGAAAAAGTCGCATAACAATTTTGTGGCAGTATCTCTTTTAGCGATTCTGGTCCATGTGGACCCGAACAGTATGCCGGGGTGTTAATATTTGGCCTTTGTATTTGGATACATTTGCCTTTGCTTCCTAGATGTTCTACATTTTGCCGTTGCTTCTTCAAATATCTGTTCCATTTCTGGGGCCAAACCTAAACCTACTGTGTAGTCTCCTCTCTCATAATTCATGGCACAGGGTTTTTCCTGCTCCCCCCACCCCAACCTGTGTTCTGTGTGCGAGTCTCACAGAAGCATTGATAATGGCTTACTTGTTTGTAGCCTCTCGCAGTAGAATTGCCATCTTGATTAGAACATGATTTAGGGCATTCTGGTGGATGTTAGTGCTTTCTCCCATCCCATCAGTCACCAGGACCAAAGATACAGAGAGCCCCTGTGAAGCCTATGCATTAGGGCTTGGAGGGGATGTAAATGGTGAGTAGGTCTTGTGTTGGCCTTCTGCATCAGAGTGAATTTTGCCTGGAAGGGTCAAAATCATCACAGGAGCAAATGGGCAACAAAGTTTTGTCCACTGACACCAGCAGTGAATTTGACTATGGGTTTCTTTCTTTTTTCCTCTGAATTTGCTTTCTTGAAAAACACTGTTCACTTTCTGCTGGCATCCTGCACACAGGCAGTTCAAATATCTTGTGGTCACTGTTTCCAACTGGTTCCAAGCTTCCCTGTCATTCTTATTTCCTCAGTGAGTCCTATCTTACTAATAAAAGGAAGATCCAGGCTCATGAATCCTCCTCTGGACCCTCCAATGACAAGCATTTGGCTCTTTTGAAGAAAATCCATATTTTACAACCGTTACTCACTGTGGTGAAGGCACACTAACATATGCATTCCCGTTGATTCCAGTGAATTTGTCTGGGGAGTAAATACTCCCTGACTCACAATGGCCAGCCCTTTTCATACCACTAGCCCTAATGTAAGCCATGGGAATAAGTTCCTATATAAGTCCTCACCATCCTGATGTTTGCACAATCAGCCCTAGGTGGGTGTTTAATGGAGCTGGTTGAATGAGGGGAACGAGTCATCTGGCAGTTTCTTTGGATCTTCCCCACCCTTTGGCACAAAATATGGACAACCAGTCTTCCTCTTTATAAATTTGCCTGCCTATGTGTACTGGTGGGCAAAGAATCCTGTGCTCATTGGAGCACTGCTGTTTGTGTTGGGAAGGTTGGCACTTTCTCTTCCTCATTTCTCCTTTTTTATTCCTTGTAACTTGTCTCTCTGTCCCCCTCATCATTGCTGAGCTGCAGCTCAATGGCCCATGCTAACTGCCCCTCCAGAAATCTTTTTTATGTAGACTGCACCCATCTATACTAAACCTGTGGTCAGGTCAATGGGATCACAGTTCCACCCTGTAGCTCAGAAGGCTTCTTCCTACTGTGTATACAGTCTTGTTAGCTTGTTGCTTATTGTTTGCTTCAGAAAGTGGTGTTTTCCATTTTATTGCATGGCTCAAAGTACATGCCAGCCTCCTATTCAGATTGCAGCCTACCTGGCAAGCCCTGCCAGTTTTGAAGGTAGGATGTCAGCACTGCCTCTTGTGTGAGTGGAGACTAAATGAGGCAATCGCTTCCCACAACAAGAGACACATCCACGCTTTCTGAATCTGATGGTTGGTATACCAGTTGATGAAACCACTGCCAGACTTCTTCAATCATGGCTAAAGATCCGGGTTTTCCATTTCTCACAGAAAAACAGAGAAAAATGCAGATTTCCCCCTTTATCTGAGGAAAATGCAGATTTCTCATTTTAACAGAGTAAACCTCAGATTTTGTACTTTTGCAAAGAGCTCTCTGCAGGCTGGCACAGTTTCTCAGAGCCAGGGGGCTGTGTGTGTGTGCGGGGGGTAGGGGGTGGGGAGCATTGGCGATGAGTAGGGGGTGCACACGGGTGCACGTGCACCCTCTGAGATTGGTGGTGCACCCCCTGAGAGAAGTGCTGCTGATATTGCTGGTGGTCACCACTCGCTGCTTGCCACCCCCCCACCCACTGCCAACACCACTGGCAGTGTCTGTGGGTGGGCACCCGCCGGTGGCCCCTCGGTTTCGGGGGGTGGTGCCCAACCGCTGGCTGGCTCTCGCCACCCCTCACCGCTGACACCGCCGTGGCTGCCTGCGGGAGCTCGCTGCCGCCACACCCCCGGCGGCATGCGATCACCATGCCCCCCCAGCCTCCGGGGGCATGCTCCATTCCTGGCAGGGAGTGAGGGGCGCCAGCAGTGCTGGGAGGTTGTGGCAGGGGAGTGAGGGGAGGAGTGAGGGGCAACAGCAGGGCTGGGGAGCTGTGGCTTGCTAGTGAGGGGTCTGGACCTGTGTTCTGTGAGCTAAGAGAGCAGGGGAAGCTTTGATTTTCCATGATAAAAAACCCAAAATCAAATACCAACATTTATAGGTATTTAGAATGTATTTTATTTTAATAATTGAGGCACTGGTAGGCTTCCAAATTGCTTTAAAATGGTAAATATATCAAGACAACATTGTGTTCAACTGAGACCTATATATATACACACACATATATAGTGGTCTTTCAATTTAAGCACAAATTTGGGGGGGTTTATCAGAGAATTTGTGATTTTTAATCAGAGAATTTGAGATTTTATCAGGGAAACACAGGATCCCTGATCATCACTCATGAAGGATATCAGAAGAGAGTCACTTCCGATAAGTGAGACTTCACTCAGGTCCCTAAAATCACATTCAGATATAGTGAATCTCTCTCCAGAGGTATCATTGTTCCCATATGGTTAACAATCAAAAGGAAATTCCCGGAGTTTTTTCAGGATACCTGGGAATCATATGGCAACACTTTTGTCCTAGCAGCCAACAGGTCATATGTACAGTCTTGTTTTCTCTACCTTGTTCATGATTACCTTACATCATGCTCCTCATTTTGGAGCCAACAATAGGACCACTTGCCTCTTCTTGGGCAACTCCTCAGGTGTCTTCCTCTTGGTCACTAACTGGACTGCTTACCATTTGAGTTTGATCCTTCCATTTTCCATTGGCTTCACATCTCCTACCACTGCCTTTTCCCACCTCTCTCTATTGCTTCCATTTGATTTGACTTCCTATAAGTCACAGAAACTTCAATTGCTAATTCCATCTTTTCTTTTGCTTGCATTTTAGACTCAATACACCAATGAGGATTCCTGCCACAAATACTGCACAGGATCCATTTGGAGATGCCTTCTATTCTTCAGCAGCTGTGTTTAAAAGTGGACATTACTTGTACATTCAAAGTGCATAATTTATCTTCTTTCTCATGCTTTGCTCTCAGAGGGTTTAATATTAATTAACTCCCAGTTCTGCCACCTATCTACTTAAGTGGCTTCTCACAACCATTAATTAATTTTCACAACACCTGGTGAGGTAGGGATGCTTTTATTCCTATACTATGGATAAGAAATTGAGACACAGTAACACAAGGTGTGTGTCTCTAGGTCATGCCAGAAGCCTGCAGTAAGATGGGAACTGAAACCCAGTGTCCAGAGACCTAGTTCTGTGCCTAAACCACTCTCACTGAGGGATGGAAAGAGTAGAGGGGGAGCAAGGATTTTACTGGCATACCAAAAGCTGGATAAGATGGTGACAGGAAAGAGCAAAAGTGAGTTGCTAAGTAGCATTTGTTATGAGAGGGTACCAGCATGCAGCAATGTGGTTTAAAAAATGCGACTCTGAGTGTGTGTGAATATACAAAACATATATGGAAGGTATGCCTCAGACACCCAGAGAGATCAGATGGTACTAGGGAGAGAAGGAGTAGGTCAGTGGCAGTTCCTCTCTGCAGAGAGCTACAACATCTGCCCAAAAATAGTCTGCCACCCCCGATGCCAAGAGCAGCAAACCTTTGATAAACAGTTTAAAAATAACCCCAGTGGGAAAGACGTCCCATCTCCCTCCCTGGGAATCTTATTTGTGTTGGAGCCTGTGTTTGTCTTCCAATACCCCTGCCAGCTTTCCGACCATCACTATTGCTCATGTGACTCTCATTGCCAAGGAGGCTGGTGCCAGAGAGGACATGGGCAGTCCCAAGGGAGGAGAGAGATGCTTGATTATTTTTGCTACTGTGGCAAGGGTTTGAAATGGGCAGGAGCAGGGCTGGGGAGGAAGCCAGCCTGGGACGTGCCAGAAGGGATAAAAGATGTGTTTTAGCTCTTAGTGCTATGGCTTCACGCCCTCCTGCTGACACAAGGGAGCAGATTGTGTAAGCGTCACATAAAGAGGAAGGTGCAAACTGGTTTCCTGCAGGAAACAGAAGTTGGACATGCTGAGAGCTGGCATGTTCCAATAAGCCACAATGTTCCCTCTCTCCAGGGCAGCCAGCTCCTCATGTCAGCTAGTCCTGGGAGGCAGGGTGGGGCAAAGGTCGAATCAAGAAACCTGTTCTTAACTCTGCTCCTGGCTTGCTATGAGTCTCTTCTCCTCCCTTTCTTCATCTGGACAAAGGGATAACAACATCAGTCCCCTTGTGTAAAGTGCTGTGGGATCTCAACACAGGAGCTCAGCCATATTTCCTGCTGGGGGCGTAGGTCTAGCTGGGGACCAAGTCATTCTCTGAGTGGGTTTCCTCCACGTGCCTCCATGTTATCATGGGAATACACTTGTGGAGCTATATAAAGATACTGTGGCTCACTGCCATGGTACACACATGCCCTTTTTGGTTCCTGATATGGGTGCTGTGTTGCCCCCCCAACGCAGCCTGCCCTGTCAAGCTACCTTGGGACTATCAGCACGTGGGAGGCCACTGGGCTGCATTGGTGGGCAGCTGAGTGCTTGGGGGAAGCGGAGGCAATCTGTGTCCTAGAGCAGCTACTCCAACCTGGCGATCCTTGAAGACTGCTTGCACTTCTGCTGCCAAGTGCATGAGCCAGAGAAGGGTAATTAAGGTGGAAGCAAAGAAGGAGCCCCTTTTAATCGCCACCAAAGCAGCCGCTCTGGGGAACTGGCAGGGCTCTGTCCTGCAAGGTTATTAGAGTTCTCATTTGTATTGTCCTTGGAAGAGGTTCTTCAGGGCCGCTGGCTCAGAGCACAGAAATGTAAGTGAGATCTTCTTTGATGTGTTTGGGGAGAGCCATTCCCCATTCTTCCACTGCTGTTCACTATTGATATTATTTCTGTATTTTTCCCATAGCAACAGGGAGTAAGACCCCAGAAGCAGGACCCTAGCGGGCTGGGTTGTTTTACTCACCTGGCTTTGGGCCTGAGGAACTAACCTTCCTTCTTAAAACAAGATGCAATGGGTAAGTGCAGCAGATGACACAAGGAAAAGAGCCTCTGAGGTAGGCTGTTGATATTGTTCCTGTTTTATCACTGTTGGCAGCCATTGGTCTTAGGAGACCATGGAGATTGCGCATTTGGTGGGTTACCAGGTACCACCAGAGCTTCTTGAGTGGCTGAGGAGTCTGATGCATGACAAGCAGACCCTCCAGCAAGTTGCACATATAAAGACAGGTGAGCTTGCACTAGCATGCCAAGTACCATTTTGTTTTGCCTGCCTCTGACACCTCTTCTCTAGCTCATCATTGACCCAATCCATCTTGAAGCACTGCAGGCCCTGCTTCATGGTGACTTTCCACTTGCAGCAGTCTGAAGTGATCGATTCCCATTTAGATGTGGGGAAACTGAGGCATGCGCAGAAATTAAGCAGCCAGCTCTTGGTCATACAGAGCAAGGGGTAGAACCCAGGATTTCTCCTCCAAGGCTTATACTTACCAAACAGGCAGTGATGCTTCAGGTACTTCTTTTCTATCTCCATTTACTGCCTGATGAACAGGGATTCTGGTTTTCCCTGATAAAGAAATTGCAAATTCTCTGATTAAAAATGGCAAATTCTCTGCTAAAAACCCCAAACTCCACAATGAAAGGCCACTATATATACAGGTATCAGTTGAACATAACATTTACTTGATATATTTACCATTTTAAAGCAATTTGGAAGCCTACCAGTTTCTTAATCACTGTAATAAAATACATTCTAAATACCTATAAATGTTGGTATTTGATTTTGGGTTTTTTATCATGGAAAATCAGAGCTCCCCCTACCCCCTTCACTCACAGAAAGCAGGTCCAGGCCCCTCACTCCCAAGCCACAGCCTCCCCAGCCCTGCTGGTGCCCCTCATTCCCCCTACAGCCCCCTGCCCTGCTGGAACTCTGCCAGCCTGCAGAAAGCTCTTTGCAAAAGTACAGAATCCACAGGTTTCTCTGTTAAAATGATAAATCTGCATTTTCGTCAGGTAAAGGGGGAAATCCATGTTTTTCTCCATCTTTCCATGGGAAAAAGAAAACCTGGATCCCTGCTGATGAATCACTTCAAATGAGGATGCAATTAGTAGTCACAGAACTACAGACATAGGAGATGGAGATGTTCCAGACCAGAGGAGCGCCGTTCTATCCATGCCAGTCTCTTCTTTTCACAGTAAAAGCGGGGATCGACGGGAGCCACTTCCATGTAGTGATCCCTGGAAACGTCTCTGATAGCCAAGAGCTCCTGAATCAACAAAAATGCCAAAGCGCACAAAGATAAAGATACAGACACCTTTTTTGTCATATGAAAGAACAGTAAAAGCAGTGGGGTTCCTTCCACTTCTTCTACTATTAGAGAGATCTCACCATCATGGCAAGTTTTGTAATATTCAGCCCATTCTCCTGTTATTGTTTTTACCTCTGACTCCTAGTTCTACTTCTTGGATTGTCTTTGGCAAGCCCCCAGCTTCTAGGGAGATGACATTTTCCCTGTCTCCCTCTCTCTGTTGCTTCTTCCTTCCCTCTTTTCCTGATTTTCCCTTCCCATCTTGCTCCCAATCAGCTCTCCATGCAGCCTTCAGAACATGACCCTGCAGGCATATCACCACTGTGTCCTGCAGGGACTTTAGCAGCAGTGACGGTGGCAGAGGAGAGAGGTGGAGGTTGCATCATGTAAGCTGGCCTGTGGAAGGGGGAGAGGGGCTGATGGAACTCACTGTCCTTAAAGGGTCTGAGGTATATGTGAGTCAAGAGAGAGGTTGCTGATCAGTTTGCAAGCTATTTCTTGGCAAATGAGAGGCATGAGTATAATCAATGCATTGATGTCAATCAGTTCAGTCTTTAGCAGTCAAGATTGCCCTGATACCCTACACTGTCAACTGATCCTGCTGCTGGTTCACACCTTTCTCAGTTACGTGCATCCATTCATCCATGCTGCCATCTGCAGCATCCCATGATGTACTATGGTAGCAACTGGGAGCAGCCTTGTAGTCTCCAGGGAGGAAGCATCTCAGACAAAGGAGCATTTCCCCTTAGGTCTGCCATCTGAGACATCATCATCAGCAATCCCACACAGCCAAGGTTGACTGTCTTCCATGATGTCCTTATCTGTGGGTCTGAAGATGGCTGACAAGGCCAATCTGGGATCTACAGGTTCTATTGCAACTTGGGTATGTGTTTCCATGCAGGGTGGATGGCCCTGGATTTTTGGTTCATGACATGCTGTTTCTGCTGCTCCTGCTTTTCCATCTCCTGTTGTTGTCATGGGGTTTCAAAGTACGGAGATCCTTGCAGCAGACTCTTCTGCTATTTAGGGTGGTCCTGGGTGATAGTCTCCTACAAGCTGATGTTGATGTTGCATTTTTTTCAAGCTGTCCTTGAGGACATCCTTGAAGTGCTTTATCTACCTTCCTTGTGAGCGTATGCCTTGACTTGGGCATGTTGCCTTGACTGGGAGAAATAAAACTTGCTTCTGGAGTCTGGAGTTGGACATCCAGATGATGTAGCTGGCCTAGTGAAGTTAATGTCAGATGATCATTGCCTCAATGTTCATGGTGTTCGCTTGTGTCTGAGAGAACCATTTATAGCCCAAAGGCAAGTGACTGGTTTCACTGAGTTCATAGCAGGTGTCCCTTCATTCATCTTTTTTGGGCTGCCAGATTCCAGCTGAACCAATGCAAAGCTGTCTCTTGCTTCAAGGAGGGAGGAAGGTGCTGCCTGATTCATGACAGTGTGCTTGGCACCCAGAGTGCCATGATTAACTCAATGATTATCTATGCAGAAACCATCATGAACACCTGGTGTGTATACTGCTAGAAGGATTTGACAAACAGCTCACCATATCTTGGGAATGCTGACTTTTTAGCAAGTCACTTACTTTGGACAATGAAGGCAGACTTCTTAGTTCCCCCTCTGCGTACCACCCCCCTCCCCAAGACATTTAGTTCACACTGTAAACACTTGCAGAGGTTAAATGCATGCAAACAGAAACCCAAGCCCTTGACATTTTTGTGAAAATATTTCTATTGCTTTTAGAGCCTGTAAAACTTTTATTTACAAAACCGACATGTTGACCTGACAACTACTCTGAGCCTTTGCCAACAGCATTGGTGCTTCTGAGCTGCTCCAAACAGGAAAAATGTTCTTGGAAAAGCTCTTAGAAGCTCAGAAATGGGTCACTCAAAGAGTAATCATAACCCAAAGCTCAGAACTGTTCATTCCAGCTTTCTTATTCTTCCTCCAGCAAATGATGGACTCTGGGGTCAGGAGGAGAGAATGGATGTCAACACGTGGCAGCAAAAGCCCAGTTGTGGACACTTAAGTACTTCAGGCAAGCCTGACCTGGTGTCCAAGGCAAAAGACAGACTGTAAAGTCCTGCCTAATGTGTCACTCAACATACAGAAACCCCAAGAGGAATTGTGAGCTCATGTGAACATGTCAGTGATATGTAGTATTAGTACCTTCCATTTATTGCCAGGCAAAGCCCTCTATTTATCAATAATCTCATCTCCATAGATAATATTTATTTTCTGATTTGGTAGCTACAGACATGGTCATGGAAACCAGTATTTGCTATAGAATTGGGCTCCAGAATCCAAAGTCTCATTATCCAGAGTTTCAAAATGAAGGATTAAAAGCCAACAATGAAAAAAAGGCATTTTGGTTATAAACCCTCCTGCTTCAAGGCAGGGAACAGCTTCAGACTAGGAATGGTTGGAGAAAAGCTTTTGTGATAAGCAGTTCTTTTCAGTCTCCCACTGCTGAATTTATGGACTTCTCTGAAACAACTGGTACTAGCCACTGTTGGAGACAGAATACTGGAGTCTAAGGGTTAGATTTGATTCCAAAGTGCAAGCCTATTTCACCTTGCATGAGTCTTTGAAAATTGGTTATTGTGCCTATTTTTGTAAAATGCCTTCATCTTAACTTTCAGATTGAATTATAAAAAGCAGTGAGGAAAAGGGGTTCCCTCCCACCTCTTGTATGAATGAATTTTTCTGGCATTTGAACTGGAATAGAATAATTTATCCATCAAGTTTCAATTAGGTGTCTAATAGCTGGAATAGTGCCTGTCTTCTAGTCTGATTAAATATGGTCATTCCTAGCTTGCTCATTTTCAATGTAAAAAATATTTCTAACCCCATGGCAATGATGAAGGCCTTAAGAGCATGAAACTATTGTAAAAAAGAAACTTCCACATTCTTCTGAGTCTGTAGAAATCCTGAAACAAGACTTGTGAACTGTTTTCATTCACCCTAATAGGATGTTAATTCTAAACATGGTAATGACAATTACAGTGATGACATTATTAAAATTGCTTTGCAGGTCCTTTGCTGGAGGAGCTGGTGGATTGAAGTGAGTATGACATAACATGGAGGTGGGGAGGCTTGGAAACAGGGCAGGGAGAATAGTTATTGAGATTGTGTTGCAGAGGAGTGGCTATACCCAGATGGGAGTCTTTATAGGAGAAAGAGATATGGGAGTACACATGACTGGGAATTAAAGTGAAGCCAACTAGCCTGTTGTGGGTGTATACCTATTTCTGGAAAGTCCATGACCCCGAGGCTTCACACTACACTTCCCTGCAGCTGTTTGGGATTGGAACTTACCTTCATGGCTTGGAGTCACCAGGGGCAAGAGCCTCAACCACTTTCAGCCAGAACAACTATTGACTCAGACCCACAGCAGCAAGCTCAGGGGAGCATCTTGGCAAAAAAGACTGCTGTGCAAATTCCTTCGGTGGTTGCCCTACCGAATCTTTGTTCAGTTCAGTTTGGTTCATAAAAGACTGAAAAAGCTACTGGGAATATCAATAGCCTCCATTCTTCACTCACATAACTTAGAACTTGAAGGATGATTCATGTTTCTGAGGATTTTTTGCTGCTTTGTTAATGTGTAGAAATACATTTCAGCAAAATCACTAAACAGTTATTGCTAATGCAACATGAACCTACTGCCCTCAGCCCCAGTCCTGGGAGGGGCTGCCTCGGACCTGAACATGCTCATAGCAGTGTTACACTAATGTAAATTACACTGGCATCCAAAGAAAACAGACATGCTGCTACTCCATATTAAGGTGCCTTACTACCAGGTATTAAAGTGCTTTTCTAGCAGGCGAGCAGGTATTAAATTAATTATTGAGCAACCCTGGGATAGCTGTGGACAGATGACACAAACGCTGATGTAATTTATACCGGTGGAATTTTACCCTGATTCTTTTATGGTTCATCATACACTGGATTGGTCAGTTTCTTCACTATCTCTTTACAATGGTGTAAATAACTCATCTATCCAGGCCTTGAAATGAAAGAACCCTCACGCCCAGGGTTTGGAGTATCTCTAAGACTGGTCTGTGTATGTTAATAACACTATTTGCATTAACTTGTTGCTTAGGTCAACGGAGATCAGGGCAATGCTATGCTAAGAGCTGTATAAACATAGAGGAAGAGACAGTCTTTGCCCTGAAGAACTTGAAATCTCAATAGACAAAAGTAAGGTGGGAAGTAGAAATTCATGAGTTTGCCCCAGTCACACAGCAGGTAAATGTGAGAAGCAGGGATGATAATGTCTCCTGACTTGAAGCTCAGTGCTCTGCCCACTGGACCATAGTACCCCTCATGTAGCTGCAGGGGCCACGTAGTCAGGGGGTTATTGGACCCCTTTGGATTTGCCCTTGTCATGCTTTCTAATTCCACTACACATGGAAGTGCAGAGGATTCTCACACAAGGTCTGCAAACCATGTCCCGCTCAAGCCTCAGAATGACTCCTCCATTTCAAGAGCCTTCCCACTGCATCAAGTATGAAGGAATGTATTAATACTTGAAAAAAAACACTGTAAGTGCTTTGGTTTTAGCAATGATGGACATTATTCATTCATGCAGCCAATGAAAGGAAGCCACCTGGTGACATATTCGGTCTCTCCATCTTTCTCTTGCTGGGTCATTTCCCCTCCACAACCCTTATCTCCTTGATTTTGCTGAACATGAGACATGCTTGGTCTTTCTTCTTTATTCAGGACCATAGGTGGCTGTCTGTCTGCTAGAAGCAGCAGTTCTCCTGAGGAGGACTTGCCTTAATTGCAGAAGGTGTCCAACTCACATCTTTCACTGGAGGTCCCAGTGCACCTATAATGTGTTGCTACTGATGCAAATTGACCACATGGTTCTCATATCTTCTTCCTCCTTAGGAAGAGGGAAGCAGATGCATGAGTGAATCCCAGAGGTCAAGCAGACAAGAAAAACAGAAATCTTGGGGCTGGTCTGGAATTGAGTGAGGGAGGAGCCTGGAGTTTTTACCGACTTGCCACCAGCCCCAGTACTCTCCACACTTCAACAATCAAAGGGAAGCCTGTGTAATTAATACTATTTAGGCCAGGTTAATGACAGGGGGAAATGTCTCTTGTCAGCCCAGCTTTGCCTGTTGGTCCTGATTTAGCAACATGAAAGCATTTTTTCTGATTAGCTGTTCAGTGAAGGAGATAAAAGAGATGGCCATGAAATGTTTTGTTTAATGTGATGAATGTAAAGGGACTGTTAGCACTGGGGAAGGGAGAGAGGAGAGGACACAAAAAGAAAGAGAGGTCTGGAACAGCAGATGGTGCTATGGCATGAGACAGGCACAATTGGGTGTGGGAAACCTGGGACTGGAATAGTTGGGGGACTGCAGGTGAGGAGTGAAGGGTGCTGATCTAGCTGGAGTTGGGACTGCAGGACAGCACTGGAATATTTTTAAGGGAGGTCACAAAACAGTGAGCAAAAGAGAACCAGTGGCTCTAATTTATTTAGATTTTTGAAAGGCTTGTGATAAAATCCCTCACAAAAGGCAACCTGATTGCAGAATTTAGCTTTCTCATTTGGTTATCAATTAAAAATTGTTGGGGGGGGAGCTAGAACACAAAGAGGTGCAATGAATGGCTGTTTCTGAGCATGGAAGAAGTTTTAATAGCAGGATGCTCCAGGGAACATACCCCTAGCTGTCTAGTATAGTTACTAAAGTGACACTGGTTAAAAGTTATATTTAAACAACAACAAAATATCTTATTTGTCCCTAAAAGAGATGGCAGTAGGCTCCATTAGAATCATTCAACTGGCCTCCAGAATACTGCACATTTAATGATTTAAACTGATTGCCCTAATAGAAATTCAAAATCTAATCAGTGAAAATAGGTTAGTGCAGTTCAATTTCTGTGTACAGTCAATTTCTGGGAAATTTCACTTTCTGGTTCTCTGGTGTTATCAGGCTGTAGAAACGATTAGGGACCAGTATGAGTTAATAGCTGAATGAAAAATTTTATTAATTGGGGGAAGAAGGTGGGCATCCTGGAAATATTCCCCCGATGTTTATAAAACATTGAATTTAAGCAAAGAGAAACGTTATGGTGAAACCAGCTAGTCCTGTCTCTTTAATAATTCTGGGAAGGGGGGGCAGGAGTGGAGGCACATACAAAATTATTTAGAAAGGTAATTGGTTTACAAGGTAGAAGACAAATGTCCTTGTAGATAAGAGCAAAGTGCTGGACATTGAAGGAATAGAGTAAGATTTCTGAACAAACTGGGCATTCTGAATGAGCTGTAGCCTGAAGGTAAACAAGCACGTTATCTTCTCTGACAGTGGATTGTAGTGGACAAGAAATAACACAAACCACAAGTTAGGTTGTTATAGGGGCTTTTCTATAAGCAGATAATGTGCCCTCCTTTGGAACCCTGGTTTTGATTGTGGTCATCTCCTCTCCGAGAGGTTGGTATGGAAATAGAAAAGTTCCCAAGAAAACAATGGAAATGCCAATAGGGATGTAAAGCTTCAGTACAGGTGAGAGAAATGTGGACCAATTATGTAGAGAAGAGAAATTATAATGGAATATCAAATAATGACATGCTAAAGGGCAGACACACATATTGTGCTCAGTGCAGGGGTAACTAAATGAGATTCTATGGTTTATGTTATACAGGAAGTCACAGTAGATGAATCAGTGTACCCAGGTTCAAAAGAAGATTTGGTATTTCTGTGAATGAGGACATCAAACATTTTTCAGTTAGCTGTAAGTCAGGAAGAAAAGACTCCTGCCATGGTACAGGGGCATTTTCACTGACTGGCATTCTTGCATACTGGCCTCTGGCTTCTATTCTATTCTCTCCCATTCAGGAAGAGCACAGAACAACTGCAGATGCTTCCTCAGCCTGAAGAAGGGTGTTTGTACCCAAAAGCTTGCAAAGAAGAATTTTTTCCAGCTGCTTTAGGTGGTCTAATAAAAGATATCGGATTTACCCTAAGAACCTTGTTTGCCTCCTGCCGTGGTAAGCAGCCATTGTTAGTTAGGATCATTATGTTGAGAGTTATCCCTTTTTTGAAGATCCTGCCATTGGCTATTGCTAGATGCAAGAAGCTGGACTAGAAGGAGAGATCCTCTACCCAACAATGCATGACAGTTATTTATCCATATTGTGTGTGCGCGCGCGCATGCACACCTACTGCAGCACTGAGCAAAGTAGTTTGATGGGAGTCTGCTCCATTTTGTGGCTTGAGTTTTAACTGATCAGTACTGTGTGTACCATAAGCCACGGCGTAACGTTGCAACTAGTCCCAGCTGGGTCATGACAGGGCCTCAAGGTACAGTTCTCCACAAGTCTCACAAGCCAGCTTGTCAAACTTCCCTTGACAATAAGAGAACAAACTCCTGTCACTTAAGGCAAAATCATAGTTTTTCTTCCTCAACTTTTCACCATTGTGCCTAAAAACTTCTCATTTTCCCTTCTGGTCAAACATGTCCCAAATCTGATTCATTTGTACTAAGCATTGCTAATCTAAAAACTGACATACTTAGTTGGAAACATCTAAATTACTTGAATCCCAGCTGTTGTCTCTTGCATGGAGAAGATTCCTAAGAGATCTCCTCAGGCCCTCAGCTCCTGGTCTTAAACTGTTTTCTCGATTTTTATAAAGCACTTTTAGTTACATTTCTTAGTAGCACTTGACTTCATGAGCTGTGACCTATCCCGGTAACCACTGGCCAACTGTACACTCTAGAGTTTTGTCAGCTAATCAGCAGCTTCCCCCCCTGCTTTTTGTGTTATGCCTATTTTATGTAAGAAAGAAAACTTGGCATGCAGCTATACCTTAAAGTACTACCTCACCACTGGCTGAAAGAAATAACGTAAGAGTAGAAGAGTAGGTAAAAAAAAACACCTGCAAGTGGTCATTAAGTGGTAACATTTTCACAGAAAGTAGTAAATCTGTCATCCTGGGGTTTATCATTGCAAACAGGCTTTATTTTAAAACAAATAAATAAACTGGTAAAAGTCGCCTATTAACAGGTGTTGTCTACAGGCCAAACCTGGAATTAAAGCCCATAATTGACAGTTGCCTATTTATTCTATGTGCTATTTATAGTCAGTCAGATCTCTCAGCATCAACCTTTATTTTCCTGTATCTTTGTAATTAATCCATTTGCTGTCAACATTTTAATAGAAATATGGATCTCAAATATACTCTGTGGTCCAGCAAATTGCTGACATCATCTGTTCCCCAGGGCATAGTGTTAAGGCTTGCCTACATAAGGGAAGATGATGAGAAGGTAAACTGGGAAAGAAAGCAGACTGTAGATGAAACAGAAGAAAGATTCCTCCTTTAATGTTGTGCCAAATCTCTGTATTACTTTTGTGGAAAATACACATGACCTAGTTTCCCCATTCACTTCTGTATTGTGGCCTGCAGGAGTGAAGGAGTTAATAGTTTTCATGTACCGGAGAATGGGTAGGAGTCATATAGGCTGTAAACATAGTGGTTGGTAAAAATGAACTATGGAGAAGTGTCAACATACAAATGGATTTGTTTTAGAAAGACAATGAAGAGCCAGGGGCTGGACCATTAACTGTGAATAACTGCCAGCAAAGACAGGCAGAGCATGTGAAAGCCGTGGGACAGGAGCCGGAAACAAAGGGCTGAGGTGTCTCTGCTGCCCAGTGCAGGGACAGGGTGGGGATAGGGGAAGTGCTGAAGTGGACTGCTTTTTTCCACCAGCCTAAGAGCCCTAAAGCACTGAGCTCCAGTTACCTAAGAAGCGCTGTCTTACCTGGGAGAAGCTCTCCCTTACAAGATACCTACATATTAGGACTGTGCAAAGAGGCTAGTGTTTGCTTTGGATTTGGCTGATTCAAGGGACAGTGATTTGATTTGGTGATTTGAATCACTGTCCCAAATCGATTCGGCCAAATCTGATTTGGAGATTCGGCTGTGCAGAGCCCCCTATGCAGTGTGGGGCAGTTGTGGGCAGAAGGGATTGCCCCCCCCCTCCCCACCACCTGGCAGCACCCGGTGAGTACCGGGGCTTTTCTCTAAAAGGCCGTGAGCTGGGGTAGGCAGGGCACCCATGGGGGGGGGAGGCTGGGGGGCTTGGGGAGCAGGGAGGGGATGGGGGCTGGCAGGGGTCCCACCATGGTCCGCCCCCCCTAGTACTTACCAGCTTGGAGTTGGCTGCAGCTCCCTGCTGCAGCCACCGAGGACTGCCTGAATCATCAAAGCTCTCTGAATCTTTTCTGAAGATTTAGTGAGCTTTGAATCAATTTGGACCTTTTAATTGGTCCCCTGATTCGATTCCGATTCGGAGATTCTGCCACCGAATCGGGCCGAATCTCCTCTGAATCAAATCGCCACCCAAAGCTTCACACAGCCCTACTACATATTACATGGCTTCCAGGCAGGGTAGGTCTGTCATGGAAACTCACATTGTCTTGAAGTTGCTGGAAGAGCCTTGGGGTAAGAAAAAATATGCTGAAGCCAGAAAGAGAGAGCTAGCCTCACTTTTAGGGGAGCTGCAGGGTTCACCTTTGCAAAAAGTAGAGGCCTGAAGTCTAGCCTTAAAGGCGGACACTTTCAGAGGGACTGGATAAAGGTGGGAGGTCTAACATGCCCAGTGGACCTGTAACATAGATATCACCCTTTATGAAAAGTTTTGTTTGAGCTAGGCTGGGAACAAAGTTAAGAAACAGTAGGCTGGGTCCTTTAAGTTGTAAACTGTCAAAACCCCGTGGACATCAGTGGAGCCAGCAACCATTTTACAGCAGCTGAGGCTCTTGTGCTGTGGTTAGATTCAGTTTAAAACATACTAACGCTGGTAGTGCCAACCCCTCTTCCAGTCCCCACCCTCCTGAAGCATATTAATTCAGGAGAAGCCACTCTGTTAGAGGACTTGGAGAAGGAGCAATTGGAAAGGCAAAGCGAACAGCTGGAGAATTGGCGACACTGTCAAGTTAGCTGGAGTGAGCAGCAGTGGTTTCTGAAGACCCTAACTATGCCAATTTTTTTCTGCAGCTGAGCCAAACCTGATGCGGGCTGGGAACAGAGTCCGCTTGGTTCCATGGGTGCAGAAGGGCAAGAAAGAGGTTTCATAACTATGTGTAATATACTCTAAACTAGCCAAGGGCACTGCACTTGTTGGCTGAGTGGGAATGTAGCACTTAAGGAGGAGACAATTTTTTACAGGTTGTAGCTGGGTGCCAGCTTCTACTAAAATTGCAAGGGCACCTTTGAAAATCTCTTTCTAATTGCTTATGGATGCCAATTACTTTCCAATAGCCATAAGAGCATTAGCTATCCTGATGTGTTAAACTGGCCTTTACTTTCTGCACTTGTGCTTATTTACATATTGGCTGTTTCAGGCATTGTATTGTGCTGTAGAGCTACTACCTCAAGCTAAAAAATCCTTTGACCTGCCTGTACTATGCAGGAGGTTGGCTAGATGATCATAATGGCCCTTGTAGCCTTCAGATCCATGACTCTATGAGAAAAGATTGCTGCTACTTTTCTGAAAAGCCCCTTTCCCATTACAATCATAGGCCATTCAGATTGGGAGCATCCTCATTCTCAATCCCAACACTAAATATGAGGTACAGCTCATTTTGTAGCCAAAAGGAGAACTATGTAGACCATGTGATAGCTCTCCTACAGTGTAGAGGTTATTGTATTTCAGGTAGGATGGTCAAGGTGATGAAAGCACTGGATGGTGACTTAGGAGAGCTGGATTCACCTCCTATAGTCCTGGCTCTGCCAGACTTCCTGCGTGGCTCTAAGAAAGCCATATGCTTTCCTGAAGCTCTTGTTACACTTCTGTAATAGGAGAACAATGATACCGCACTGGAGTACTAGGAGGATCAATATGCATATAGTGGAGAGGCTTTCTGTTCAATGTTGACGGGGCCCACATATGTAGATAATTCTTCCTCTTAGAAGCACATGACATACAACAGGTAGCTGAGTGCAGATCAACAAGTTAACATTTTGAAAAGGGAGTCTCCTTTTGGTATGCATTTGAAAGGTCAACTAACATTGTGAATGAAGAGGAGTTTTAGGGTATGTTTTGTTAATTTTAAAAGATCTGCACTGAATTAATTTATTGTACTTCTGTAACTTCCATGACATTTGTTCTTTTCCTGGATGTCTATTGAAACAATAGGATGTGACTGAACCGCTGGTAGCCTTAGGCCCTATGCAGTGATTCACTAAGGTAATTTGCGTTTACCAGAACTCGTGTACATGTCCTGCCATGTGTATGACTGGAATAGGCAATACTTGGAAGTCATACTCCTTCCTCATGCAAAGGATCTTATGGCTGGATATGGGCCTGCTTTGAGTTTTGTCCTCTTTTTGTTTCCCAAAAAGATCATCTCATTTTGGAAAGAAGCATAGGAAATCTTGGAAAAAGCAGAGGAAGCGTCCTGAGAAAATGTTTTATATAATGGACAGCTGACTGCTTAAAAAATTTTTTGTCACCATATTGCCATAGTTTTAATTCACGAGGTTCATTTGCATCCAGGGCATTAAGTATATTGAGGTTTCAGGGCACAATATTCTCCTTAGGCACCTATCCACGTGTCCAACACCTGCTCCGATGCACTCTAATCAGAGTGCGTCAGAGCAGACTTGAGTCTGCTGGAGTGTACTAATTTGCATGCTCCAGCAGCCTCAGCGTCACGTGCATTCTGCGTCCCTGCACTTCGAAATAGCGGCAGGGGTGCTTTAACTGAAGCTCATTGAACGAGCTTTAGTTACAGTGCCCCACCACCATTTTGAAGTATGAGATGCTGCGTACATGAGACGCTGCGGACACTTTAATTAGAGCATCTCCTGAGAGCCTCTCTAAATAAAGCACCTCCTCCCCCCAAGCATATGTAAAGACACCCTTTGTGCATAAAGCCTTGTACCTAACAGCCTATGTGGGAATGAAGTGATGGATATTACACTGTTGAACAGGGGTGAATTTCATCCCTACTTTCTATAATAATATATGTATGTCGTAATTTTGAAGAGTGAGTATAAATTTGTACTTGCTCAAAATCATCTCTAGAAAAAAAAACAAGGTTGTGCTTTTATTGCAGTTTAAGCTGTAACCTGGTGAAGATCTGATCTATTAAGGGGTAGATTCTCCTAACAAATGCCTCTCTCCATCAGTTTTCCCATTAAAATCAATGGCACTACTTTAGGATAAGGTAATATGCAATGTGCATGTCAGAATTTAGCCCTAAAGCAGGATGCAGGGAGACCATGTGGAAAGTTGTCCAGGTTTCACATAACTCACCACAGCCTGTGTAACAAATGATGTGAAAGGATGGGTGGACTAGTATTTAGGGTGTCACAGAAGGATTCCTTTCTCTGCTCTGCCACAGATGTC